GCTTCTTTCCCCTGCATGTATTCGATACATGCTGTACCGAATCCATTCTTTGCCTTCAGACCGTGTGCTCCTCACGTCATTGCCTCCGGCCCCGCTTCGGAAAGGGCTGGCAATCCTTCCTGCGCATCCTGCTGCTCCCGGGATTCGCCCGGCTGAGCCGTTCTCCCGGAGAAGTGGAGCACAAAGCTCGCTGGCCTAGCGTGTCACATCAGGTTGGCCCAAGCGCGGGAGAGGCGGGCTGAGCTCCGTGAGAGGTGCAGCAGAGCCCCCGCTGCTCCGGGGGAGCCCGGTTGCGTGGATTTCGTGTACACCAGTCGTGGGAAAGCGCCTCGCTGCTTTCTGCGAGGTGTTCCAGCTCTTTTCAGCGGGGGAGGAAGGTGTGGGTGATTTTCTCGGTACAGGAGGCCTTTTAAAAAGAATAACGCACTGAGAGAAAAGGCAGAGCCTGGCATTTGTGTCAGTGACGCCCTGGAGGAAGCTGTTGCGCGGTGCCTTAATGGATCTAAAAGAGAGACGTTCGATCCCTTCGGGCACAGCACGGGACACGCTCGTTCGTGTTTCTAAAAGGAGGCGTGAAAGCGGGAGGATTTGGCTTTCACAATCCGCCCTGGAGAGGACGGAGGGGTTTCCCCCCGTATGGCCCCGCCGCCGGCAGGGGGCGCCCCGCGCCCGCGCTCACCCAGCGCCCTCAGGGCCAGGGCCGGGTCGGGCTGTGCTGGGAACAACTCCGGGACTGGATCCTTCCTGTTCGCTCCCCATCTGCATCAGGTATCCATTCACCCAGGAACCTTATGCCATCTGTTACACCCCACAATAATTGCCTTCTTTCATCTGTTACGTTTTACCTGAAGTTTTGCACTATTTGCATTACCGCAGTCCTCAGCACACTGAACCTTGCCTCACATCCCACAGGGAGTGAGTGGCTTGTAGGAGCACAAATTAAGTTACCTGCACAGTGTTTACAGGACTGCGGTTATAAGTTACAAACAGAATTTGGAATATAAAAGATAAGCTTGTGAATTTTCAAAAACGTGGGGCCTGTAAGCAAAAGAGTATGGTGTTTGTGGCTAAATATCATAGTTGGCTTGACTACCAAAATTAATAATACCATTTTGCTGAAACAGCAGATTTCTTTACCCTCCTGACCTGGAGAGCCTGATTTAACCCAGAAGGTGCCTTTTGGGAAGAGACAATCTGGTTGGCTTGAGACATCAGGAATGCATTGTCTGTGCAGCTTATGGTTCACCAGACCAACAAAATGCAGATCAAGCTGTTGTTAGGCAATTCTTATGCCCATTTCTTTTTCCTTATGTTTCTTTACTAAGATCTGTCAAAACCTGAGTGCTGTAGATAGCTATCATTTCTATAAGCTCCAAGTGAAGGTTGAAGCTAATGTGACGGAGGTAGACTTGTGCAAATTAGATCATTAGTCACTGCTTCCCAAAATAATCAGCATTCATCTGATAATTCGGGAAAATTTCCTTTTTTGAAAAAAAATTTTTTAATTTTTTTACAGCAGGTATCCTGATGCTTTCATAGTGTTCTGGTCTGGTTTCTTGGCCTTCAGAAGCTTTGAGGCCCTACCACTGCCTTTCTTTCACATTTCTGATTTTGTGTGCTTTTTGCCAAGGATGCTAATTTTGATGCCTTTTTTTCACCTTCTCACCCAGAATTGTCAGTGGGGGGACATTTCTTTTTCTGTTCACACAAATTAACCTACTCCTTCTAATGTGTGAACACAGATTTCTGTCGTCTTACTGACTGAGTTTAAAATTGTTCTGAATATTTATTTCTTCATTTTCTCTATTCTTTTTTTTGCTTTTTGGTTGGGACTGGACATCAAAGTCTCTTAGTCAGGAACTTGTCCCCTGGCTAGTACTTTAAAACACTTTGTTGAGTCACATAAAAATACTTCTTTGACCTTGGTAGTGCAAGAGGAGGAGAAATCACGGTTAGAGCTTAGAAGGAGCACATTCAGTTCAACTGTGATTATCTTCAGTCTTTTTGAAAAATATCAGTTACATCACTTTGCAGTGGGTGCTTCTGAGAAATAAGCCTAAAGCAGAATTTGAATTATGTATGTGGAATGCCTGCATGAAGGCTTGCTCAGGAGGTTAATGTTTCTGAAGTATTTGGAAAACAGAATGTATGCCATTACATCACAAGGGCTGCCTGTAAAAGGATGTCCCAGTTTCTACACTAGCAACATCACCGGGTTTTTCCTTGTCATTCTAGACTGATTAACCACATATTGTCAGAATTTGTTGGCCTACTCTCTGTTACAGCTGTTGATGCTAAAACTCTTTTCAGCATATTAAATGTGCATGTGATACATGACTGCTGAGCAAAAAAGCAGCAGTATGTGTGACCTTGTTGGTGGGAATGGTACGTTCTCTTTGCCTTTGTAGAAAGGAAAATGGCGTTGTTTGGTACGGCCTATCTCCTTGGACTTGAACAGGAAAGGTTAATTTGGAAAGCACATTTCTGTTTCCTCAATTTGCATGTTATTGTGATCCCCATAGGTAACTGGAGAGGTGGCTCAGTCCAGCAAGACTGACTCTTTATCAGGTTGCTTGGTCACGTCAGATCACTGAGACAGAGGATGGAGGACTTCCATGAGTAACAAAAGAAAATATGCAGTGGAGATTTTATGTCCTGAAGAACCTAACTGCTAAGGGTTTGATCTCTCTCCCACTGATCTTGGATGAAATGTTTCTGATGGATTTTTTGGCCATTGGAGCAAACGTTGTAGCCTCTCCTTATGCAGAGATCTTGGTAAATGGCAGTAGAGATGAATTTATCAGGTACAGTAAATGTTTATAAATAATGTCTATCCCAAGAGTGCAGTGGAAAGAGGTTGTGATGTATTTTTGCTTGCATGCATTTTGGCAGAACAGCCTGATCATACATAAATGATTAGCTACTGTAACTCTGATCAGGGAAAATGCATCCTGCCAGAAAAACAAATATCAAAACTCTTCTGGGCCGTGCAGAATTATTGTGCTTGGTGTGCTTTCCATTTACTGTCTCGTCTCAAAGGAGAAGAACAGCTTTGAAAGTGGAAGGTTGTGTCTGGAAGTCCAGAACCTTAAAGGACTAGCTCAGTGAGTCATATGCCTTCTGCTTTGCTGGTTTGGCATTTTAGATATCTTTTGCATCTTAATAAAGGTCCGTCTCAAAAAAAATTGATCATTCTTTACAGTGGTTGTTGATGCCAAAAAAGAACTGTCACCAGACTGATGGTAAGTTTCCTGAAAATACCATATTATGGTATTATTAGACCTTTGGGGCAGGGGTAGGAGTGTGAAGAGCTTTCTTTGTTTGCCTCTGTTCTCATAAGTGTTTTGCTCCCTATCCAGTCCTGATGGGACTCCATCACCTGGAGAGGTTTCAGAGCAAGAGGCACAGTGATTTCCGTCTTGTGCCCATTCACATGGAGCTTTCTCCCACCACAGCATGCTTTATAATTTTTGGTCCTCTTTGAATCTGCAGGCCCCCTCCCTGACCCCACAGGAGTGGCTGCTGTGCTCTGTTCCATCACTGTACTGCAGAAAGCAGCCCCTCCCTGGCTTTTGGAGTGGGGTGGCAGGAAAGCCTGGGGGAAAGGTGGCCTGATGAGGGTGAGTGATGCTGAGGACTGGGCCCAAGACTGTACTGGTGATATTACAATATCATAATTCTACTGGCACCCCCTAGTTTTGAGTAGTTTCTTGGGCTATGTGTCCAAAATCGCAGTGTCCCCATGCTATGGGTACACTGCCAGGTGGAGCAGACTGCTCAGGGGCTATTGTGTTAGCAGTGGGCAGTAACAGATCACCCTGGACGTGATGGCTCTGCCCCTCCCTGGGCACCTCTGTAGTGACAGAGTCAGGGGTCAGCATGGAGATGAGCTGGGTCAGAGATTTGGGCCCGGCTGCCAGGGGTCAGGGTTTGATGTCAGAGCACGCAAAACCACGTCTTCCTGACCGCACAGGGAAGCAAGGCTGCAGCGTTCTTGGCTTGCCCGATCCCTTCCTGGTAATCACACAAGGAGCAGACGAGCCAAAACATGAACTGAGTCCACAGAGTTCCAATCATGCATTTATGGTGAGAACATGTGCATGCACATGAAGAAATGAAGTGTACAAGCATTAGTGCAGTGCTTCTGAATGTAAGATTTGAGTGCTTCATACTTGTCCCCTTATCTGGATTGGGACAACTCTGGATATATGTACAGCCTGGGGAACGAGATGCTGGAAAACAGTGCTCCAGAAAGGAACCTGGGGGTTCTGGTCGATGGCAAGTTGAATATGAGTCAGCAGTGCCCTGGCAGCCAGGAGGGCCAACCGTGTCCTGGGGGACATCGCAAAGTATCGCCAGCTGGTCAAGGGGAAGGATTGTCCTGCTCTGCTCTGCACTGGTGAGGCCTCACCTTGAATATTGTGTGCAGTTTTAGGCACCACAATATAAGAAAGATATGAAGCCATTAGAGGGTGTCCAAAGGAGGGCAGTGAAGATGGTGAAGGGCCTTGAGGGGAAGCCGTATAAGGAGCAGATGAGGGCACTTGGTCTGTTCTGCCTGGAGGAGACCGAGGGGAGACTTCATTGCAGTTACAACTCCCTTGTGAGGAGAAGAGAAGGGGCAGACACTGATCTCTTCTCTCGTGACCATGACAGGACCCAAGGGAATAGCCTGAAGTTGTGTCAGGGGAGGTTTAGGTTGGATATTAGAGAAAGGTTCTTCACCCAGAGGGTGGTTGGGCACTGGAACAAGCTCCCCAGGGAAGTGGTCACAGCACCAAGCCTGACAGAGTTCAAGAAGCATTTGGACAACACTCTCAGGCACATGGTGAGACCCTTGGGGATGGTCCTGGCCGGGGCCTGGATCTGGACTTGATGACCCTTGTGGTCTCTTCCAACTCAGCATATTCTGTGATTCTGTATGACTGTTTGGAGAACACCTATATCACTAGCATGCAGATACAATGCCTTGTGGTAAATGCAGTATTTCTTTCCTTAAGGGCTTTCATAAGCATGCCAGTCACATCAGATGACCAAATACCTGGACAGCCTTATGTTTTTTTCTGGTGTGCTGGATCTGCTAAAATGCAAATCATTGCCTCAACACAGCAGAAAGGCCAAAAGAGACCATGTGACTTCAGATGTGAAGCAGGCAACTTCAGCCCATCCCTTTCTCTCTGCCTGAGATTCAGGAGGCATGGTGACAAAACAGCTCTGCTACAGCACACGTACAGCACAGCTGGAGGGCTGCAGCCATGAGCTTTCACACCAGCTTGGATGATGAAAACAGCATTTTCCCCTGGCTGTTTCTGAAGAGCAGCGTTCAAGAAATTTCCTCTCGGGAAGCTGTATAAGTAGGTGAAGAGCAAGTGCATTGCAGCTCCTGAGCCCCAGAGAAAATTGGAGCACCTGTTCTGCAGAGCTGCACCCCTCAGGAGTTGCTTTCTCTTAAAAAAAGAATCTTCTAAAGGTACTCTTGTAGAAAAAATCTTGGTATTGCTGACGCAGAAAGAATAAAAGGTAATATGTTTGGGTGGGGTATATATATATTTTTAACTCACTTTTAAACAGTATATTTACAAAATGACAGTTGAATGTGGGACTATTTATGATTTTACCCTGAGAAAAATCAGTGTGCTTCAAACACTAAAGTCTGACCTGGACCGAATCAGTTATCCAGAACTTCTAAGTACAGGTGAGATCAAATAGTTTTGAGACTACTGTATTCCATGTATTCTGTTTTAGGAAAAATAATTTTTATGATGATATTTTTTAACCTTGTTCTGATGCCTAACTTAAATTTTATTAAAACCATACTAAAGCGTGAATTTAATTTTTAAAGTGGCTCATAGTTCAACACATATTTATTCTGAAGCTTTGCTTTTTCAGCATGTCATTAAGAGCCTGCTCATTAACTGCAGGACAGTGTGTGATCCAGCTTTTTTGCTTAAAGTGTGTTAACTTTCATGCTCCAGTTGGATCCAGTTTACTAGAACCAACTTTGCTTCAGGATTTTCAGTTTGCTCCTTGTATCCTAGAGGAATATCCCCCTAGAGGCATTTAAAATTTCTGGAAAGTGATATGATGGCTTTGCTTATTCTTCAAGGTGATCTGCACCCCATTTGTACACTTGTATTTGATACTCTGCCTCTTTTTAAAAAACATTCTGATCAAAGTCTTGCACAAAAAAAAAAGAGGCTGCTTGCTTTGTTTGGTTATTTTCTGCACAAAAAAAGTGAAAATGTTTTGTGTAAGTGTATCCTTTTTTGATTATAAATAACATGAACTGGCATTCTTCCATCATTTTTCTACATATTCTCTTTGGATTTGCATGCAGTTCCTGAACTCAACAATTGCCTGAACAATCTCTGCACGTTCACACCTTTGCTGCTCTTGCTTTTATTTCTTTTTGCAGTGCATTTTTTGGCTCAGGAATATAAGTCCACCTTAAAAACTGGTCTGTCTCCATCCTATTCACTTCCAAGCTTTGCTGGCTCTCCTGTATGTTACTACATCCATTCCCTATTGATTCCTGGCCCCAACACTGAGGTCTATCAACATGGCCACTTGATAGAAATTATTCCATCAGTTCTATATTGAGACTAGCCTTGCTTCTCTGAGCAGGCTAAATAAATTAACTGTTAACAAAAAGGCTTCCTTGCTTCTTTATTTCAGATATATATAATCACTGGAAGTCCCTCTTAGTTTGTCCCATGGATGTAAAATAATGGAAACCTAAACACATATTGATTTGCCTGTGTTTGATGTTCTCATATCAGCCCTTTGGCAGACCAAATTCAGTGTTGGTGTCAAAATTACAGCTCTTGTGCCATAGCCAGATTCCATTTCATTCTGCTGGTTTACAGTGGCAGCTTCATCCCACTTTCCACAGGATGGGTCTTTTAGCTAATGAAATCTTTAACTCATCTCTAGATTCCCATCCTTGACAATTGTAACAAGACAGTTTGAAAGAGTTGTCCTTGTGCAGGTCCTGACCTGGATGTTGTCATTTAATGTCTACGTTCTTCTCTCTAGGGTATTTTGCTCTTTCCAGCTTCATTCCCTCTGCAATACACAGAAGCAAATCCATCACAAAACCATGTTATAGCATCTCTCAGTTCTCTGCAGTCCTCATTTCCAAAAGAAAACAATTCTAAAGGAAATCTGTGAGTCACAGTAAACTAAACAATGGATAAGATGGCATCAAAGGAAAGCCTCTGTCATTGGAAGCATCCACCCATCCATCCATCTGATCTTTATGCAGGAAACTGTTCCTGTCTCAGCACCTCTACAACTCCATGTACCTTCTAAGACATGTTATGGGAGGAGATCATAGCTACCTGTTCACAAATATGGTTGAGAAAGGGGTGAGTAGTGCAAGGAGGCACATTGCTGGAGATAGCCATTGAAACAACCTGTAGGGGAAGTAGCATACTTACAGAAACTCCATCCCAACCAAAATAAAAGGAGAAGTCTTTCATTTTTGTTTATCAAAAGTAAGAAACAAATGGAAATATGCAGGAATAAGAACTTAAAACCTAGTGGCTCTTACTCATGTGTCTCCCATATCCCTAGGCTTGACCTAGCTTATACTTGTCTGCCCGTAGCACAGCTCATCTAATTTAAAAGATAAAGTGTGCTTGAAAGGATGGCTCTCTGCCCAAAGGACCTGCTGTCTGATTTCATTAAAAGTCAGCTATAAATCTTTACAAGATTCCTATTATTCTTGACGCAGCCTGTTCTTTACGTGACTGAGAAACTGGAGGCATGATTGATTTTGGGCTGCACCTGTTACATCTAGATCAAATTATGCTGGTTCGTTATCTCTGTAAATCAGGCTCTTGACAGCTTTGGTTCTGAACCCCAAATTTCAGAGTATACCTTCAGCAACTCCTATCCAGAAAAGAACAGCATGTGCCACTGGCTTAGCTTTGTGCATGTCTATCGGCATGATTGCAGAGACACTTTATTTTGCTTCAGTGGATGGGCTGTGTCTTCAGAGCCTGTCCATGACAAAATTGCCTTTTTGCTGAACTGAGAGAAATGTAGCAATTTCTTGAACTTATGTCTAAAACTGGGAGAGATCACTGACTTGTAGAAATTTAATTACTGCCTGCTTTTTAGTCAACATGCCAGATTCTTTCTTAACGTAAATCAGTGGTATAGTATCCAGAATGTTAACGCAGCGCTGTGTCCCAAATTCTCATCCAGCTACCTTGTATCTCTTTCAATATCTTGGTAAAATCCCAGCTTTTTGTTTCATCAGCCAACATTTGGGGGGAATTTTGGGATGGCAAATGATTCTTTGCCAGACACTGTTACACTGCATAGTAAGTAGCTCACAGAAATTACTCTCATAGTCTGGAGTCTGGGCATGCGGGTTGACAGCCAGGATGTCTCTGTAGCCAGCTGAAAAGCCATCAGGAAAAGGTAGTTGAATGTTTGTTATGTCCATTTTAGAATGCAGATATTTGGGACTGAAGGTGATGATTACTCCTCCGGATAAGCTCACTGATGGTCAAATTTGGCCTTTTTAAGAGGTTTAATGATAGGATATGCAAGTTTTCCTCCAAGCTCTGAGGAATATGTTTCAGTCTTCATTTTCTGCTGTCACAATAAAATTTCTGTCTCTGTGTCTCTGTCTGACGCAGCCCAGAGAAAAAAGGGGTTCGACCACTTTGGACATGGACGATAAAATGGTCCTTTATTGAAGGGGTAACTTGGCTTATATAGGGTAAGGACTGAAAGCGCTGGAAGGAGGGGAGGAACTGGGGAGGAACATGCTAATACAGGCCAATAAGAAGGAAAAAGGGGAGGAAATATTCAAACAAGGGATTACTAATTAATTAGTGACTGCAATGCGACACTTCTAGCCCAATCAGGGAGAAGGACATGAACTGGGGTACACAATGCTGAGGGATTTTTCTTACAACTGGGGATTTAGGGTACAATAAAGGGTAGAAGTACAATGAACATTAAACTTGAACATGAACGCAGGGTGTATCAACAGTCTCGTTTCTTTATATGAAGGTGGAGAGGGTGTTTTCATCCGGGGTTCCGCAGATCTCTTCGCATATTTCAATGTCTTTTCTCCACTGCTCGTAGTCAAACCTCTCCTGGGCTTCCACATTTATCTTTTTATTTCTTTGCTCAAGGAGGTGCTACAAGTCCATGAGTTTAGAGGTATGTGAAGGAAAGAGTGGGGATGACTGGGAGAAAAGCTTAAGTCATTGAAAGCAGAGTATGAAGGTGATTCAGACCCCCATTCCTTGGGTCAGCCCATTGTTTGCTGTGGTTTGGATGGAGCCCTGAGAGGAATGATGGTTCTGTTTGGGGCTCCCATTGCCCAGTTGCATTGCCCTTTAATCAAGACAGTCTCGCTGCAGTAGGACTTAGACTGTAAGTTCTGTTCTTCTGATCACAATTCAAGTCATGGCTGGCTTGTTTGATGGACTAATGAAGATGAGATTCTCCTAAGAGGACAAGTGAGGAGATGGTGTACAGGAGAGCAATACTTGTTTGGAGAGAAAACAAATTTGAGCTTTTAGCAAACTGCCATATTTGATGCTGTCAAAGACTTTGGCTCAAAATTAATATAACAGCACTTCTTTGTATTTCATGATAGCTCCTTCAGAGGGAAGTAAAGCAGTTCATTGTGGAGAAAAAAATTAAAATCCTTCTTTTTTTGAAATAATTACTGACTCATAAGGTGTGAGACCCAGCTCAAGTGTAGGATACACTTGTGTTGTGGGACCCTGAAAAATAGCCCCAGACCTGTAAAGACTTGTGTGATATTAATGTGAAATGACATGACGTCACAGGATATTGTACATAACAATGAATGTAGAAAACTACACATATAGTCCCACAACTATAAATGTTTTCTAATTATTGAAATTGAAGATCAGCTAGTTATGCATTTGTGGGTTTTTTTGTCTTGTATCCTCCTGTTCATTTTATTTCTGCTAGTAAAGCCAAAGGAAAATAGTAGTTAAGCATTCATTTTATGCTGGTGAATTTCTTCTTTGTTTTAAACACCAAGTTAAAAGGAATATCAATGAAACAAAACAACAAATGGAATAATTTAGATGTAAGACATGTAACCCTGGAGACAAGGAGAGAGAGGGGGCAGTGTGATCACATAAGAAATCTTTAGCTAAAACAAAGTTCAGTATCTCAGAGCATCAGTGACTTTCTTATTACTTAGAAATTGATCCATTTTGTATCTCAGGGGAATTGTGTTCCTTTGAACTTGTTGATTAGGGAATGTATTGCATTAGTGAATGATATTACTTAGTGAAGAGCTGAGCAAGTGCCAGGACGAAAACCCAAAAGACTTCACTTCAAAATGGACTTTGTTCATTTATTTAATGAAACAAAATCTTTTCTTTGAATTGTTTCAGTAGAAAAGCAACAGAAAATTGAATGTTTTATTTAAATGAAATCTGATAATGAAGTGATTTGCTATGGCACTATTTCGTTCGGTAAATTTGGTGGTGATGACACTGAGGAATAAAGTGATAAATGGTGTGGTAGGGCACCTTTTAAAATCCATAGAGTGTTAGGAGGGCTGAGGGTTGGGGTTTTTTTAGCAGTAGTATCAGATGTAATTTAAAATCTTTAAAATTCTGCAGTTCCAATTTTTAAATCACAATAATGAAGAGTAACATGACTCTGTAGTCCCTTGTCCCTAGTAGTAAGGCTTTAAATAGCAATTTTTCTGATTAAGAAATGACTGGTGCACTTTTAGCTAACCTGTTAACCTTAAGCTAACATGTAAGAAGTAAACTGTATTAATTACTGAGTCAAATTCTTTTCAATGGAAGCTGATAGTAATCAGATGTGAAAAAGAAACCTAGTATGGTTCATCAGGTCCAGTTTGTGTAGGATGTGCTGTACAATTGTGCTGTAGGTATTTCAGATTCTGTGTTGTCAAACACTTTTGTTTTTTTCTCCTTCTCCCTCCCTCCCAATCTCCTCCCTGGCAGGAGTGCTAGGGAAGAGCCGAGGAGCCCAGAGGGGTATAGTCCTCATCACTGAAGGAACAGCACAGGAAATGTGTGTAATGCTAACAGCTGAGAGGAACATGCTCCATATCAGCAGCAATTAAAACGGATAGGCAGCAGCATTGGAACCATGGGGTGCAACAGATCTGTACCTGACAGAAGGTCAGAGAGAGGTGAGTGTTGCCTTTGTCTTCAGGGCAAGTGGTTGTTCTCTCTGTAACAGTAGAAGAGGCTTGCAAGGTAACATTTCCCCTCAATTGTGTTGTCAAAATACTCATTCAGAGAAAATTATTTTCTTTTTAAAAGAGTGCACAGATTTTAGATGCTGGCTGAGGTTGGAAGACAACCTCAGACCACCTCTAACATCAACAGATTGGGTTGTAAAAGATTCACAGCATCTGGGACAGAAGCTAAATTTCATATGTGTCTGTGCTCACTATGTCACTGGCAAAGCTTAGAGGATAAGGTAAGAGGGGGACCTGTTACGGCCTTTCACACCACAGGATTCCTGGGCAAACTGCCCCAATTTCTCTGCTGGTGGGTGACTGATTATGAAAGAAGTGTGATGAAGCAGAGCTATTGCAATAACTATCAGAATCGGTTTTCTGGCCTACCAAGTGCCTGACCTGTCATTCTCACTGACAATTACTGAGGCTGTCAGTTGAAAGTCTCCACAGTACCTGGTTAAATGTTTAATTAAACTATGCATCCTCCCCCTGCTTTTAATAATACCCCACTCTGGAATGAACACACAAGGCTCTGCACAGGCAGGATTGACTCAAACCTTTTTTCAGACCCTTCATGTTCTCTCAGAATTTGTCATTAAAGCACAATTTACAGGTCTGCAGAGAGCCATGTTACATAGCACTGTGTAGTGTCTTAGAACATTATTATGCTGACCAGAGATGGTTCAAAAGTAAGGCTCTTTTTGGCTACCAAACCAGGACACAAGTCCCAGTAAACTGGTGTCTACAAAGTAGGAAGCTCTCACTCATGGCTGCAGGGATCCAAGCTGACTGGTTTAAGAGTAGCCCTCAGCTTTGTGGATGCTACTTGGCATTTATAGCAGCTGGAAACATCTGGAGTCACAGACCTACCTGTAACTGGGAGGCAGCCCTTCCTCTTTCGGTTTGCATGCTGTGCATATTTGTGCCTTGCAAGGCCGTGGGGATGAGCTACTTGGGAATATTTCTGAGAGCATATAAACTTGGAGTGGGCATGAGAAGCTGTTCTCTTTCTCAGTCTACAACCATCAACACACATGGATGTGGGGCAGACTTGATTAGCCCAATGCTGGCTTATGATTTTGTGTGCTTGTTGGGCAGTGTTTTGTCTTCTCGCTGGGTGGTTTTCCTTCTATACTTCAGCATTAGTCAAGTAATGCTGAACCATCATTCTGTCTGCAACCTGAGGCTGTACAACCCTCTAATGCATTAATAACATGAATTTAACAGGTACTTGCTGGTGTAGAGACCTTCTGCAACTGACAACAATTTTTTTTACAGATGCAGTTTAGCCATGTGTGAAAATCATGTTCTGATTCAGTCCTGAGAATAACAGCACTGTAATAAGTACAATTAAAAAAAAAAAAGACAGGAAATATTCTGTTAGATTTGCAACATTAACCACAGTGACTGATATGTCTTTCTTATGTGATGCCTGTGGAACTGTGCCATGTTAAGTGCTCAGGACCATTAAGCAACGCAGAGGGGTTTAATGGGAAGTTTAATGGCTCTGATGCTGGAAATCAGTTTCTGTGCTGGTGACTGTGCTTTGCCCCTTTTTCTTCTAAACAGACACCTTGGTGACAGCCTTGCTGTGATGTGTCAAGCTTTCAGGTCTGTAGTGGTGGGGGATTCCAGAAAGAACAGAAAATAAAAGAAATCTTAGAGTTTATGTAGGGTATGAAGGATGTTCTTAGCCATATAAGGATCACATTTCCTTTGGGCAGGAGGATTTTTCTAGGATGAGTGTGGTATCTACAGGATGGGAGTCTTTACTGATTTTGGTCTTGTCTGGACTAGAAAACTTTACCACTTTAACTATACTGTATACTGATTAATGGTAAAATACGCAAACGATGTGTCGTTATAGCATATGTAAGCATTTTTATAAAAAGACTTCCTTAATGTTATACATTTATTAATAGAATCACTTTTCCACTGAGGTTTTTCTTTAACGGCATAGCTATCAGTTTAAGAAAAGAAATCATTCTCACTCAGGGGTTCCATTCATCCTAGTCTCAAAATTCCTGGTGATCACTTAAAATAATTGATTAGTGTAAACTGTTGTCCCTCTAGTACAGAGCTTTTCTTTAGTTTTGCAGAGGAAAAAGTATTAGCATGAATTGTTATTTGTTAATAAACTTTTATCTGAGCAGCTAAAGGAATGTGATCTCTCTGTGGCATGAATGGAGCCTGTAGGCAGCAGGCTCTTTCCTCCATGCTGCAGTCCTGGTGATTGTTCTTCAGTGAAGTTAACAGAAGTTTTCTAGACTGAGACAACAGTAGACATGACTTCTTAAAGTGCTGAGTGGAACGTGTATTCAGCACATAGTCAAAAATGCTCTTCTGACATGTTCCATTGAATTCTTGGGAAGTAGTTCCTTTGTTCACCAAGCTAGCCAAAGCTAGCTAGGTTCACCTGCATGCCTTTTGGCTTGTCTGTTTAAGCAACATACTCTGTCCTTTAATATAATTTGTTAACATTTTATCCTAGTGTTTGAATTTTGATGGCTTGCTGATGCAGCGGGGCAGGAAAAAACTTCCTGGTAGAAGAGGCTGTTGCAAATGCTGTCATTGCATGGTTCATGTTACAGCTTGCAAAATCTAAAGTTTTTTACTGCATCTTTGATAGAGAAATACGTTCTGTTGGTAGGCCAAACTGCTCTTCTTCCCTTCCTCACCTTCCCATAACACACATGCTGCCCATCTGCTGTCATGGACGACCGACTTCTTACATGGGTACTGTCTTCAGGACAATGAAATGGGGAAGCTTAGTGACATTTTAGGCCTGAGCAAGTCAGCTAGTTTGGGATCCGTGTCTGAAGACAGAAACAGTAAAGGCATCATGTATTACCAGGAAACAGCTTTTCGGTCTTAACTTTTACAGGGTTTCATCTTACTGTTTGTTGACTGTGCACAACGGACTGAATTTGTCGTCTGTCTGCAAAATTCTGCCAAGGCAGCATGTGTATTTCCATTGTAGATGACACTGCATCCATGTATAGTGCATTGCCCTCTGTTTTGACAGTCATTAAAGCCGCCATCCTCATCCAGAAGTGGTACCGCGCAACAATGGCCCGGATAGAGATGAGGCGCCGCTATTCTCTGAGTATCTTCCGGTCAATCGAATATGCTGATGAACAAGATCAACTGCAGGTTTGTAATCTTCCTTTCTTCCTGTACAAGCAGTTATGTTATCCCCAAAGCACTGAGGTTGCACAAATAAAATGGGGGTGTGGTTATTTTTTGCCTACAAAGCTGGATCCTGATTAATAAAACCACTTCCCTTCCTCACATGTGAATTAAGTTGTGTGTACACATACATACATTTATGTATATGTGTATAACTACGTAGGCATCAGGACACCGTTCTGCCCATACAACCATAGGTTGGAGGTTCCTGTAGAGCAGCTCTGGTAGCCAGGGATAGCAGGTCACCATACTGTGAGTGATCTTAACCATGTCTGTGAGGCAATATATGTGCAACAGTGTCTCAGCATGTGAGTCCAGGCTTCCTTTAGGGTCAATACAGGAAATTAGGAACTTCTAGGCCTTTGTGTTCATCGTAGCATCTGTGTCTAAAGTCAGTTCACTGCACTGTAGCAGTTGCTTTCTACTGACTATGAAGCAAGTCTAAGCAAATAGTCTCAGTGATGGGCAAGTTGAATTACACCCAAAAGTGTCAGCAGCACCAATACAGCCCTGGAACATTTTATGTATTCGTATAGTGTCAATCTGTGAATTCATAGCAAAGAAGGAAAGAGAGACAGCTATTTCTGTAGTAGGACACCAGTTCTGTCATTATTGCAGGCTGATGCTATAGAAACATACAGTAGTGTCTTAGATCCCCCAAAATAGGAAATTGCTAGTAATTGAGTAAGGAAAGAGAATGTTAATGCTTGTTGGATCCCCTAAACTGATCAGTGTTTGTTCTTTTCTTTTTCTTACTCAGCTATCCAAGTTTTTTTCATTCATGCTGGATCACTATACTAATCTTGATTCAGGTAAGGATAAACATAAAAGTAATATGTTTGAAAAACCTGATGTGAGGAAAATTAATTTTGAATGTGATGTTTACAGCCTATGGCACGTGCTGGGATTGAGGTTTGACTTGCCAAATACTGTAATATGATTTTGATCGTGTAAGTGTTGACACTGCTCAATATCTACTCAGTGAGTCAAGATGTAAGTCAGAACAGGTACTTGTTGTCCTTATGAGAATAGTCAGAGATGCTCAGAGTGCTTTCTTATATGTTACTGCCCTTCAGCTTTTCTCATGCTAGTTCTACGGACTCCAATTTTCACAGCTTTCTATTCATGTTTTCTTAAACTATGAGATGTGATTATTCAGAAAGGCTGTCTTCAGTTGGTAGAGGGCAGATGGAATCAAAGAGGTTGCCTTCAAAGAGGCTGCTCTTCTCCTTTTTCATCTTTTTGTTTGTTTTGTTTTTTGTTATTGTTTCAGCAGTTCTGGACCACTTTTTAATTTAATTTGTTCTAGATATCACTGCAAAACATGTATCAGTATGTGAATTATTAAAAATGAAATAAATTTAAACTGCAGACTGAAAGTGATTCCTAAGTCCAGAAAACAAACATGACTTCCCTGGATAAATTCAGAATAGATCTAATCTCAGAGGAGTTAAAAATGAGGCTGTCTCCTTCTTATTGCATTACAAGAGAATGCCCTTTTTCTTTCATCTGGTCCAACCATGGGTTATTCCAATTAAAATTTGCACAAGATACTTTGATAGCAGGATAAAACCACCATCAAAACCATAAGTGGTTCAGTGTTCTAATGATAACCATAGAAATGGCAATTCTTCTTTCTTAAATACTTTAGAGTCCCTAATGCTCTCTGTGCTCTGCAGAAAAATAAATTACTTTGAGCCTTGCTCCAAAGTCAAGGCAGATGACACAATAGTCCTTTCTTTGATTTTTTTTCCCATTACTGCTGTATTCTTAAAAGAAAAAAATTTGCTTTAGTCATTTAATTTCCTGGGAAAGAGTTGGGAAACTTAAAGAAAATCAGACACTGCTCACTTTATCTATTTATTTGTGTTGATAGTGCACCTCTGTTCAGCTTTTCCACCTGAGTGGGAAAGAAAATAGTAGTGCTAGGTCTGAGATTTGGAAAAATAGTGTTAATCTCTATTTTCATTATAATATCCAAATAAAATTTTACAGCTGCTTGTTGTAGATATGATTTATCCATCTTTATTAACTCTGTCTACTGACAGAAGGAACAAAGGTGAGGTGCCGGGTGACTTGCTAGGGCTCAGGACGTGGCTGGTGCAGGGCACACTGCTACATGCATAGGCTGTTTCTGGGCAGGTGGATATCCAAGCCTCACCTTCACAGGGGTGGAGGTGGAGGGTACTGTGGGCTGCCCCTTGTCACCACTGCACTGGTGAACTGGTCATGTAAATATTGGGAACTGTGGATGTGGTTAAGGGTTTATAGTAAAGTGTCTCTTTGTCTTACTTGCTTAAAACTTTCATCTCTTAGGACTGACATTGTTAAGACTTGTTAACTGCTCCAAAGACTTTATTTTTGTCTTGGTTTGTTATTTCCCCTTTCCAACACTCCATGTTATAGATCCCAAAATGAAACAGAAAAATTCTGTAAGGTGCATATTTAATAGAGAGATGGCCAAGGCTGCCTATGCAAGGGAGCTGACTTAGATTTTTTTTGAGAAATTGCATATAAAATGTGTTTTGTGTGAGTTGTGGTTATGTTGTCCAACTACTGGCTGTGTGCATTCTTTACTTTAAGCTCTTGATTACTTGCTCTGGAAGTGACCTTTGCAGCACCCAAGCTAGCCCCACTGATATAAGCAAAACCAGTGCTGAATAGACTGTTCTTAAGGAACTGCTTCCACTTCTGCTGAATCACCGTCTTCAGATGTGAACCACGGTGAACGTAAACATAACAAGCAGAGAGGCTTCAAACTGACTTTGTTATTCCCAAGCATTTTCTAAACCCCACAATTCTCTGGCCTTTTTTTTTTTTAATCAGTGTGTGCTCATTTAAATTAGAGTGATAGCATGTGGTTCCAAAACCATCTCCAAGAAGATAGTATATAATCTTTTTACCAGGGAATAGGTTGCCTGTTCTTCCCAGTATGTGATGAGAAAGCTACCTGAAAATTTTGTGATCTGTGGTTTTCCTTACAATATAAACCACTCAATCTCTAGTATTCATCTAGTCACTTTCCTCTTTTTAATCTTCTTTCAGATTATGTTTTTCAAAGAGAGAAAGCAGCCACTGTCTCATTAACACAGTAGTGCTTTTGATGTGATTGTTTATCTGTTATACCCTACAGCTTTTTTCATCCTCTCATTCTCCTTAAGATGTCAGTACAGTTTGTGATTGGGATATTATATAGCTGAGTGTCTTGTTCTTGTTCTGTTTCTTATTAAAGGCTATTTTGCAAGGATTTGTGGGAAGTAAGAATAAAAATCTTTTCTACTTATGCTTTTCTCCCTCCTTTCCCCAAAAAAATGTACATACCTACTCAGACTTTCAATGGAAAGTTCTCTGGTCAGAGAAAGCTGGAAACTGTCTTTACAGCAAAAGGTGACCCATTTACTCACTCTTTTGTGGGCACATTGAGGGTGAGAAGGCTGCAAACACATCCTGGAAAAAATGGTAGGACTGGGAATCTAAGACATTACTGGCTGTACCTCTCAAGGTCATCAGGACAAGATCACACTTCCTGGAGCCTTTCTTCAAAGGGAAACAAAAAAAACGGTGTTGTTTTCTGCAGTTTCACTCCCCATGATGCCTTCCTTACAGCTTTAACACCCTGCCAAAATTTTTTGCATAGAGTGATTCTTGCAGTAGGGAATAAGTTACAGCTGCCTGCAGCTTATAGTGATAATGGAGTGAAGGAACAAATGTTTAAAGTGTTATAGAAATCTTCATCTTTGTAGTCTCAAGGACCATTTGGCTTTGACCTGATGGCTGTGGATCAGTATCTGTCATAGGTAAGAGCACTTCTCAGGAGTCAGAGGTGCTCTCAGTACCCCGATGGTTAATCTGAAGGCACACAGATGGTGGCAGAACAGAGAACTGATTTCAGAACTGCAGAAGTGGCCGATTCCCTATTACCCCAATAGTGAGTGTCTAGTGAAGGTAATAGTGTTACCCTTGGCAGTGGTGGCTCTGACTTGCCTCAAACAACTTCCCTGGTGAGGTGTCTTGTCAGGAGAACCAGGTCCTCGGGTTTTCTGTGGCCAAACTGACTCCACTTAGCTCTGGGCTTTCATGTTTAACATGGAATATGTCTGTAGGGTAGTTGTAAGGGGTCTGTTAATAGTGAAGGCTCAACTCACTGAGCTTGGGCTAGACCTCTGATGTCAGAGTACAAAGCAGGTCATTGCCTGTGCTCCTGGTAGCCAGTGGAGAGATGAAGATGCTGGCAGAGGGTGTTTCCTTCTGTCTTGACGCATGTACCTGAACTAGACATGCCAAGACTTTTCATCCTTGTGTTTCAATACAAACTGAAAGAGCTTTGACAGCTTTGACTACAATACTAAAATGATATGGGTGCTGCCTGAATTTGTGTCAGGGGAGCTTTAGGTTGGATATTAGAAAAAGGTTCTTCACCCAGAGGCTGGCTGGGCAATGGAACAGGCTCCCTGGGGAAGTGGTCACAGCACCAAGCCTGACAGAGTTCCAGAAGCGTTCGGGCAATGCTGTCAGGCACATGGTGTGACTCTTGGGGATGGTCCAGTGCAGGGCTAAGGGTTGGACTTGATGATCCTCGTGGGTCCCTTCCAACTCAGCGTATTCTGTGATTCTGTGAATCCTTCAGATTTAGTCCTGCACAGAGCGTGTGATGAGCTGGGGTACTCATTGGCCAGTGTACAAACCCCCAGGCTACATTAGGTCATCCATTACCGACCACTCTGAGATGAGACAGTCATCCTGTGCAGGAAGAAGCCTTAAAATAGGTGAAAGACTGCCTGAGGAGATGTAAGTGCACTCTAAGGGTAATGACCATGACTGGCTTTTGACAACTCATCCAAAAGTGGAAAATGGGGTGTACTTTGCAGAGATATGCTCTACAGGGAAGGAGATTGGGTTTCCCAGCCTAGGAATTTGCCAAAATGGAAGGGAGACTTCAAGGAAGGCAAGTTCATGTTCAGAGGGGAAGTGATGGATAAGACTGCTTCATGCAGGAAGGGAAGGCAGGAGTAGAATCAGGCATGGGCAAGTATCTTCCAGGCTTGAAATACTGAGAAGACCACTGAATCTGAAGTAGTCATGTCAGATGAGGAGAGCCTCTGGCTAAAACAGGCAAGAAATGAGGAATTTGGGTGGTCTGAGAAGTTGACTTCGTGGTCTGCAGCCACACACTTCCTGAGAGGTTGGGTGCAGAGGGAGATGCCATCCAGAGACTGCTGCCAGAGCGAGAACAAGAACTGGTGCAGGTGTGCCTGGCTGATCACTGGGTGTGAACCAGCAATTTCAATCCATAGGGGGTGTTCAGTTGTCTGGCCAGACAAAGCTGAACTGTGGTGGAAAACTGCAAATCAAACTGTACTTGGTGGAAACGGTGAGCCCTGAGCACCCTGCTGTCACCTGATGCCTTAATCCATTTACATGGATGAGTGTAACATTACATTAGCACTAAATGTGCTAATCAGCTCACAGCAGAAGCGCTGATAAAAAGGTGGGTCTTTTTAATCCAGGGTGTATTTTTATGAATTTATTTATTTATTTATTTAATATGGATTTTATCCAGTTGCAAGACAAGTTGGCCTTTATGAATCTCATAATTTAGGAGGCCACATGCTGGTTTTGGCTGCTGTGAGTTTTGAGTCATAGCTACAGGTATTCCTCTAGCAATAAATAATACATATTTATTTCCAGTTGAAATCAAGGTTGCAGAAAACTCACCTGTAGTCCAGAAAAGGTGTTTACAACAATCCTCTCACAAGAGCAGCTCTGCAACAGTAGCTGTTAGAACACTTTCCTCTAGGGTCTGGTTTTCTCTTTAAGAATAATATATGATAAAGACAATCTGCAAGAAGAAAACACTGAAATCTGCTGTTCACTCAGATACATTTCAAGGGTATGTCAAGAAAAAACTGGATTGAACCAATTAGCAATGTTCCTGATTTCTCCATGTTCCAGGAAAATTAGAAGCTATGCTCTACTTTCACCACTCAGCTTTTGTTTACTTTATTTCATCCAATGGTTTCATGGCAGCCAACCAAAAGCTGGAATTGTTTCCTAGTTGTATCAGCAAGGAGTGCTTTGCAATCCAGTGTGAATAAATAGGATTTTGTTGGTGACTTTTAAAATAATCCCTGACATGCTGCTATTTAGCCTAAAAATTTTACTTAGAAAATAAAGCAATAGAAATAAATCTTCACAACCTGTATTAAAAGTGTAATGTTGAACTTTAAACATATGATGGTCATGGAATGATCAGCCATGACTTTTGTATCTCCTTGCTTCAGGGGGAGAAGGAAGTCTGTACCAGCTGATGGTTCTCACTACCTATGGGAACAGACTGCTCCAGAACTTCAGTGCAGAATGTTTTGCACCCTGATCACAGCTACTGGCTGTTGGAACAGAGTTTTTTTCCTGTTTTTTCATTTGGTTGGGTTTGGGGTTTTTTGTCTTGGTTTTGGGGTGTTTGGTCGGTTGGTTTTAGTATTGCAAAACAATCTGGGGAGACCTGGAGCTCTTCCACTACACAAGGCAGGAATTAGGCACTGTAATACTGCACCAATTAAAGCAGTTACATTCAGTCACTTCTGTTACAGCTCTATGGGGACTGGTACAGTTTCTACATTTTTGGTTTTTTTCCCTCTTGTTCCAGTTTCTCCCATTTCCACCAGCCCTACTGATCCTCAGGTGGTGGGTGAATGCTTACATATAACAGAATTTGAAGAGAAAATTGATGTTCCAGACTCATATTATGGGCCACGACTCTCATTCCCCCTTACTGTTGGAGATGCCAATGCTCTTATTCATGCTTTCAGGAATAAACAGGTAAATTGCAACTAGCTTGATTTCTTTTTACTTATTTTACATCTCTGTCAAGGTGTAGTTCCACAATCCAATGTATGGCTTAACTGGTGCCGAAAGAGATATTTCACCCTTCCTTTATACCCCATTACCCTTTCCTGCTAGGCCCATGTGATCATACAGGTGCATGGTGAGCTGTCTTGGGAAACTGATCTGGCTGGAAGCTAACACAATAAAATGAAAGCAGTCAGTTCTCAGCCAGACCATTTCCTAGATTCGATTCACTGCTTTGCTGCATGACCACGAGGTCCAGCACTGGGGAGGAAGTAGGGACTAGTGAAGTGGAATGGGAACCCTTCGCAGCTGCAAGGCAGGGGTTAGCAGTGAGAGTGGAGGATTGGGGAAGGAGTCCTAAGCTAACATAGAAACTATCATCTTTTTCTGGGTTAAAAGTGCTCCTTGTTTGGTCCTCTTTTGTCCCCCACCTCATTCTTTTTAGAGACATTGAGGTGTAAGGGTTAATCACCTCATTCCAGTGTGCAAGACTCCACTGTAACAGTAGAGTGACTATAAAGCATTGCTAATGTAGCAGAACAGAGTGATACCACAAATCTCCAGAGCTTCCTGTCTGCAGCTTCCAGGGCGCTGAGAAGGCTGTCCCTGATTCTCTATATTCCTGAGCAAGCCCTTTTGCTGCCCACTCCCAACATGAGGGTGGAGCAGGGAGGCATTAAATGCATGGCACAGCTTTGTTTGAACTTATGATTATTTGTGCATTACAATATGTTGTATGTAAGGGATAAAGGTCTATCTTGCCTTTCAATTTGCTAAATAATACTACTTTTTTCCTGTAATTTTCTGTGGAGGCTGATTGTAAAAGTATCAAATATAAAGCGCATGATAAATGAGCTCACCCAGACTTCACCTTACTGTCTGCTCTCCCTTTTTTTTCTATGGTTGGCATTTTATTAGGGAAATGATTATATATGACTGGCCTTTTCTGTTTGCTTTAAAAACATGAATCTTGAAAAGTCAGTCTGTCACTCATCTATCTCCTCTACCAAAATCCCTCAGATCTCTGTGGAAACAGTACACTATAAATAAAATGGGAAAATATGTAAAGCAGGTTTATTAAGGGCCCTATATCCATTCATGGGGAAGTAAATGCAAAGCTATGAATGTTCCTAATTCCCAGCACTAAGCCATACAGCCTGTAATCATGTCTGGAGGTCTGTAGTATAAATAATTTTGGCGATACATCTGATATTAATAAAGCAGAGACATCTATTGCTAAATCTAAGAAGTTTTCCTTTTCTACCTGCTTTTTTTTTTTCCCAGCGGCTTCATCCCCACTATGTACTGCAGCTACTGTGTGAAACCAGGAGAGTTCTCAAGTTGATGCCAAATATCACCCATCTTTCAACTTCCTACTCCAAGGATATAACTATCTGTGGTAAGGTGCCAGAGAAGATAAATGCTTTGGGCTATGGGTTGATATTCTAAGTGGTCAGAGAATGATACAGACATTTCCAAATTTTGCCATTACAAGAAAGTTCTTGATGCTTTTATTTATTTGATTGTTTTCCTCACAAATGCATAAATTGGAACAAACAAAAATAAAGTTCCTGAGTCATACTAAGTATATTTTAAGAAAGTCCCTCACTCCTCTTTCCTTTTCTTGTTTAACATTTCTGAGTCAGTATTCGTTCAGCTAACACTGCAGTGTAGCTTAAATACTCCTGCACTTCCACCTCTAAAATGCCACCAAGTATTTTGATTGCTGCAAGTCTCACCTCTCTCTCCCCTCACTCATTTCTGATCTTGCCATCATAATTTACTCTGTAATGATTTTAATAAGGGCTTAATATGGGTGGCAAAAAAGACCTTTAATTGACAGCATGACTATCTCAAATAAATTAAAATTATAATAAACCCTGATTTCTGAGGAGACCCAAGAGGATGGATCAGCCTTTATACAACCAACAAATTAGCCTCACAGAATGATGTGATGTGTACACAGTAAAGAACTAAGAGCTCATTGCCCATCTATTTTGCTATACTTTTGTAAATTATGAATAATGAAATGCAGTATCCTGACTCACCACAGAAGGCAGTAGCTCCAAAACAGAACAGTAATGGTGACATAACTCTTGACAGCTATCAGCGTGTGCTGTGTGTAATAGTAAAGTAGTATAAGGAAGGGTATGGTGGTCTAGTGGTTAGAGTGTCTGACTCTCACCGCTGCGACCCGGGTTCGATTCCCGGCCCCCTGGGCAGGTGGAGCTCATCAGCCGTGGAAGGCAATCCACCTAAGAGAAGGTCACTCTAAACAAAACCTACATCCTGGGGACCTCACTGCCACTGTCCAAGCTTTGCTCGGCCCTGGCAGATGAACCTCAGGACTAAAGGGTGGGCTCAGTTCAGCGCACGCTGTGTCTCACCTAAAAAATCCACTGCGCAGGCTGGAAGGGTTAATGACCTTTCCCAAATCTTCGCTCGCGAAGACTGGCCATTATATATAAGGAAGGGTATTGTGACACATGCAGAACAAATGTTATTTAAGATGTGCTTATAGACATACTCTGATTGCCAGGAAAGGGTTTGTTTAAGTGAGGTCTTGTATAAACAATAATTTGTTAACCAAACCAACAAGACCCCTCTCCAAACCAAGGAAACACAGATTTATACTTGTTCATATGTTCTTGTTAAGAAAACGTACCTCTTCATGTTTGTATTGCATTTGCACTGTGTAAGCAGCATCTAAAGGGATCCTTTTCCTGTATTGAAACTAAAAGCTTTTGTAACCAGAAAGAACTTCTGCAGAAGATGAATGACCAATTTTTAAGCCTAATTGGTCCAAAATGTTGATTTCCTTAAAATAAGGTATCCCTCTCTCCATTTTCTTTTAATTTCAAATTAATAATGCAGATTAAATATATGTCTGAAATGTGATGAATATCTGTCATAGCTTGAAGAATCCCTTAGAATTAATTCAGCAGGCTCACAATAAAAAGTTGCAAAGACAACATGTAGACAGGGCAAAAATATCACTTCTCTTTTCCTAATCATTGGTCAGGAAAGCAAATGATCACAAGATAGGTTTTGAAACTGTTCTCTGGCTTTGTGGTGGTGAGTCAGACATGAGAAGGCTGGCTCTGTGAGCATGAAATTCAGTTACATGCAGAGGGGATCTATTCTGCAGTGATCCTTTGTGTTGGGGTGAAATCCCCCTGCCTGTTCCAAACAAACCTCTCGGAAAGGGCCAAATCTGTTGTTCCTGTGGCCTTAGCACTGAGGCATAATAACATGGCCAGTTCTTGACACTCTCCATCAAATCCTGCTGGCAGCAATCAAAATCTGTCCCTAAAACTGACATTCAGTTGTGCAGTACATAGAGGGCTACTTAGTAAACTTAAATTCATTAGTATGTAGAGGTCTATCATACTTCAAAATGTCTTTTAGTGACATTTTTTGCTTTTATATACATAAGGAACACATGGGGGAAAACTTGTTAGTACTAACTAATTCCAGTTTTATAATTCCAGTTTCTTCCTCCTCTGTGAGAAAATGAAAAAAAATACATGTTTTTGTTTCCTGTAGGAGATTTACATGGAAACCTGGATGATCTTTTGCTGATATTCTATAAGGTAAGTAGGTTCTCTGAGATGTAGCCTTTTTACTTTATGTGACTTGATGTTAAGAAAACATATTTATGTCTGACAGATTTATCACAGTTAAAACTGTACATGAGGTGTTTATATACCACACACAGAAATCCTGGAACAATTTGTTGTCTTTGTCGTAGCTTTTCCTTCTCTGTATCCTCCTGCTAACTGTGAAGGAGGAGATCTAGGAGACAGTTATTTTCCTAAAAGCTGAGATGGAGCTTGATGGAGCATGAGCCAAAACTTAAACTGCTCCTTGCAGTGTCTCCGAAGTTCTGCCTCTATTTTAAATTCCATATTGACTAAAGTCTGCTAAAATAGAACCTTAGTTCCTGATGTACCACTACACCGTGGATAATTTTGACTCTCCAGAAAAAATGCAGAAGCTTTCATTTAGGCCCTCCACTGACACCTGCAGGGGTTTTCTTACTTTTTTTTTTTTAACAGGAAACAAAAAAGAGTGCTGTTTAAAAGCTTTTTAAGCCTTTAAAGCAATCACATAGTCTTCACAAAATAGAAATTCTTTTGGCACCCTTTACATATCCTTCTTTTCATGTTAAAAAAGCATAGCTCTGTTTTACTGATGTGAAAAAAAATTAAGCTCCAGGCTATCTTTTCAACAATTATATATTTAACTGAAGATGCAGGAAATGCTGTGTATTTAGTTTCACATTTATCTTCAGCATGAATCACCACCTTTCATTTAGCAGATACTCTCTTTGATTTGAGCTTTCCGGGGGAAAAGGTTTGTGTCTGATCCTTATACATTCATCTGCACTGAATCGAGACTGAAGTGAGCTAAACCATGTGTTTAAATAATGTAATTCTCCTGCTGCTTCCAACTTTGTTACACTTTATCTGACACCTGTTGAATGGAAATGTGGTTGTTTTGCCCAAGTGCATACCTGAAGCCTGTTGAAGTTTAGTTGAAGTAGAATCAGACCTTTTTACAGTGTTCTGCTTTCCTCATTAATCAACTATGTTTAACTGGTCTTAGGCTTGCAGTATTTTAGATGTTCTTTTAATTAGATAATCTCTCTTTTTGAAACTGGAATAAGAGTATGATGCACATCGTTTTCATACACAGAACCTGGAATGGGAAAAATAACTATTTTGAAGATAAATGTTTGGACAGTTAAATAGTTATATTTATAACTGCAGTCAGCCTGCATTTTACTCTTTTGGAGTAAACAGACAACGATTCTTTTTCCCCTCTCTAATGGATGCTATAAAGAGGAAAAAAAGCCTCTACGCAACTCTAATCCTGACTTCAGTAAATTCAGAGCCAAAACTCCCACTGATTTCAGGGACTAGAGATAACACCCAGTCATTCTCTGTTAAACTTCTAGGGAAGTCCTTCCACCAAACAGAATAAAATGGACAAATATTTTGTCATTTCAAAGTGGTTGAGGATATAGAGAGCACATATTAGAGCTCCTTAGTTATTTAGAAGCAAATTAGATGACACAGTATTTTCTGTCCCCTCTGAGCAGTTACTCAGATGAGCAGCAAACCCAGCCAGCTTCTGGGATCCCTTTTTTTTTCATCATCACTGACTCTGTTGCAGTTGGAAGGGATGTCATCCTCTAAGTTGGCATGAACCACCTATAACTTTAAACAAGAGGGTGCGATCCTAAACAGTGCCATGAGTGTAGTGATCTCAGTCTGAACAAAGCCATGCAGAGCTGAAATGGGTTTTGGAGGGCTGCATGCAGACCAGGCACCTTGACCATGGGGCTCTGTCCAGGGCTTGTCACAGCAATTCTACAAACCACCAACAGCAAACACACAGAGCTTGCAATATATGGCTTATACATACAGTGCTGTAGATTGTGTATAATTATTATACCTGGCTTGGGTGAGGCTAAGATAATTACTTTTTTTCCTCAATAGCCAATTTGTCAGGTTTGTTCAGTCCCTGCATTAATCTCCATTAAATTACAGCATTTTCTGAAATTCCTTGAAACACTTGAATTTTAAATTATGTATTGCTAAGTTAGATTGTTAAATGGATGCTATGGATAGAAATAGCCTGAAGCTGTAAAAAGTGCCAACAGCAAACGGAAGTTAATTAATCACTAACCCGGTAGATACAGTAATGATGCCCAGCAGCAAGTTGCTAATCATTAGAAGGCCTTGTTTGCCTCTCTGACATGTCAGAGGCTGCAACAGCCTTTAATTTAGTTTTGCTCTTATTGGTCAAAACCACAGAAAAGGAAATAAAAACTTGGCATGAGTGTGGAACAAAACTAAAATGTCACATTGAAGTTGAAAATCCAAAACAAACTTGTTAAAAACTAAAATGGTGTGTAAGTTTTTCCAAAAGGATGATAGAGTCTGGAGACTACTTCAGTAGATCTGTCTTTCCGAGAGGATTGCAGCTACAGAGTGGTTGCATGTATACTCACTATCTACTGGTGATTCACATGCCTATTGGTTTTAAGGCAAAGCTTTTATTAATTCATCTTTCCAGAAGCTGCTTCTGAATTTCTCCTGTCTGTTCCAGTCCTGAAATCCATCCTCTCTCTTTTTTAAAGCCACTACAACCCACTTCATTAGCGGAGTCTCATACATTGCCACTCCTGTGAGCACAGAACAATCACGGGCCTCTTCTAAGTAAACCTGGAAAGGGCTCAGGACAAGCAAAATCCAAGGAAGCCATATTTACAGCAGTCAGGATCAAGAGACCAGGATTCACTACTGCATCCTGACATAACAGCACGGGACACTGACTGGGACAAAAAAAAATATATTCCTTATGAATTCAAATTAAACATTTAATTGAGCCCCTGGCCAACTCATGCATCGTGCAATAAACCTGCTAAGGCAGTATACCTGGGAATGCCATAGGAACACAAGAAATGCTTGACACTGACACAGTAGCTATCTTCAAAAGTGGGATGTCTTGCAATGCTGCCAAACCTGTTAAGAGTGGCTTCCACAGTTATGATGTGATTTTATAGATGTTCTATTGATAATTCTTGTGCATATCAGTTGTGAGAACAGAGGTTTCCTTTTTCTGGCAAATTAAAGGTTGAAATAATATTTCTGATACTCATGATTGGAAATGAGGAAGCTACGTATAGTTGATGCTATGTTTTCTGTAAGCTGATGGCACCCATTGATGTACTGGTAATTAATCTAATGAAACATACCATCAATTCAAACTAGTAGCTTTTGATGAGTAACCATTCATAATAAAGCATTGCTGTATATCTTCAGAGAAAAAATAAAGTAAGAAATACCTGTATGTACAACCTCTCAGGCTTGTGAGCTTTCAAGTATATTCTTGCCCTGATGGGGACAAAGTGCCATGTGAGTAAAATTCAAGTAGTGCTTTCAGGATTAAAGCAACTGAAATCAAACTCTTCAGAGTTCTGTATTAAGATTTTATATCCTCTGGACTATAGTCTTTCTCAGGAGTTTTGGAAGCATACACTGCAAACAATGTAAATATATTAAATCCATTTTCTAACCACGTAAGGAAACATAAGGACCTTGAAACTTGTGTCAGAAGACAATTTTTCATGGATTTCTTACCTTCCATTCAAAGTGAATTACTCCCTTCTGTTTGCAAGTGCACAATTTCCTGGAGACAGTTGCATTAATGGAAAAGTATATTTTATTACGAGACTGATGTCCCTTTTGGTCCCATTTAATTTATTAGATAGAGGAAAGGATTAGAGATGGCATCACAAGAACAGCTAGAGAGGTCATCTCTTTTCTGATGGCTCATACAGGTTGTCTGATATGGAGGTTTTTATTCTAAGCAGTGCAAATAAAGAAATGCTACATTTTAGATTTCTCTATTATGCAAGAGTTTTTCAGATTTTCTAACAATGTGATCTCATTTAAATACTATTTCCTTTATTATAGTACCATAGCAGCATCTCTAAATATCCTTTTTTTTTGTTTCTTCCTGCAGAATGGTGTGCCTTCAGAACAAAACCGTTATGTCTTTAATGGTGATTATGTTGACAGAGGGAAAAATTCTTTGGAAATACTTATAATCTTATTTGCATTTTTTCTTATCTACCCCAATAATATATCCTTGAATAGAGGAAACCATGAAGACTACCTGATGAACCTGAGGTAGATTTTGGAGGGCAGGGTGGGTAGTATCTGGCCTTTCACTAGAAATGTTTGAGCTTTTGAATGCTACTTAACCACTGTGACACTCTAAAATACAAATAATATTTTATTAAGTATTCAGGTGTAGCTTTGCGTCTTCAAGATGTGTGTGGGGAGGAGGGACATCCTCATTACACACATGAGAACCATATCTTGTCTCTGACCTAGTCACAATCCATTGAAGTCAGAGGCCTTAGTGCAGCTTCCAGAGTATCAAAATTGGGAAAGGAGGACAGATGGAAGGATATTTGAGTTAAAGCATATATTTAGTTAAAGCTGATATTTCAGTTAACTTTAGACTAAGATGTCACTTCTCAAACACAAGGGGCAGGTAAATATTCTAGTTTCCACCCAGGGGAGGTTCACTGGTTGGGAGGTGTCATCTGTCCCATTGCAGAAAGAGCTAAGACCCTGTTTTCTAATACAGACATTTGTACTCAGCTGTACAGCACTGCCAAGGCCGTGAGCACAGCCAGTGGCTCTGGCTGTAGTGAAAATGTGACTTGTAGAAAAAATCATCTCACAGATGTGGGAAGAACTCCTCAGTCTTAGTCCCTACAATTCTAAGCCATCCCAGTTAAGTCTTTGGTTGACTGAACTGGTGGGTAACCTGTTGACCCCCTTCTATCATTTCATGTGTCCATACAGAATACAGTGCTGTTTTAACACAGGCACAGACCTGGGTTAGAGGCCATAGTCAAGTCCTATTAATGATCCATATAAGAGAATCAGTTTCACATACTTACTTTTTCAGCACTTAATTTAAAAAATAAATAAAAAAACCCCAAAACCAACAAACATAAACCAAGATCAGTTACTTAATTTATGAGGTAGGAAAATTCTCACCCATAGCAGAAATATTAACGAAAGCTGTGATGGTATGGAGTGCACAGATGCATTCCTGTGTATGGCTCTTTGCTGGGCATTTTGATTATCAGTGCTACACATACATAAATTTGAAAGCTGAGTGTTGTGAAAATGCCCCTCGACCAAGGATATCTTGGTGTTACAAGAATGAGGTATCAAAATCTTTGACCCTTGTGGGGGAAAAGACGTAATAGATGACATTGTCTAAGAAAGTTACATGTTCAAGGCCAGGTTGGATGGAGCTCTGAGCAACCTGTTTTAGTGAAAGGTGTCCCTGCCCATGGCAATGGAGTTGGAACCAGACAATCTGTAAGGTCACTTCCAATCCAAAGCATTCCATGATATGATTCTCTGATGATATGATATGATATGATACGATATGATTGATATGATATTTAGGACAAAAACTGGGGAGGCTTTGTGGGAATTTTTGCTTATAATCATTTAGGTTCCTTTGAAATTTCTATCTGGTATTTAAAAGGTAAAGTTGGTAAAATGGCCACTTAATGATTATTAGGATGAATTCTGCTCCTGATCTCTGTATGTACAAGAAATCAGTTTAACTCCGTTCTTGAGACGGAGTGGAAGAAAGCACATTTAAACTGAGGTGAGATGGAATGGCAGCAGAAAAATGGGGCTAGAAAACTCCTGGCAAACACTATAGCACAGGAAACCATGCAGAAGGAGCATACTGAAAAACAGTTCATGATGCTGTCCTATTTTCAGATATGGCTTCACAAAAGAAGTTTCGAGTAAGTACAAGGTAAGATTCCTCTTCCTTCCCCTGTATTTTCTTTGTAGTCTTGCAGATGTAAAATGAGATCTGTGAAAACAAGGAGACTTCCAAGCAGTTTATGTAGGTGTTACACAGAATTACTTTAGTGATGTAGTTGAAATTATTTTGGCATATCAGTGGATAAAACAATTTTAAGTGCTAGCCTCTTATTCTCAGAGATCTATGGGATGAAATAAATAACATCCATAAGGCCACTCGAGAACACAAAAAGAGGTGACCGTGAAAGAAAAGCTAATTACACAATCAAATGGCCCTAAAGTGAATGTCAGAACATGTTTGCCAGTGTTGCAATTCAGGTTGTCACCTGGACAAAACTGTTCATATAGACTGTAGCAGATGCTTCAACAAAATCTTGACTATGGAAGCAACAGAATCTGCCAGAAATCGGATCTAATGTAAGAGAATATTTTACAGGAACACAGTACACAGATTTTGTATCTTCTGCAAGATGTCTTCAGCTGGCTACCCCTTGCCACTATAATTGATAACAAAGTTCTCATCCTACACGGAGGGATTTCAGACACCACAAATTTGGATTTCCTGAAGGCACTTGAAAGAAATAAGGTAAGAGATCATATATCCACATGGGGGTACAAATGCTGATTTTTGCATTAGGAAATTAAATGGTTGCTGTAAGGAAAAGTCCTATTTTTCTTCAAAATCAGCATTTAGGAAGGGAAGTTTCAGTAGGTGTTGTGAGCCAATTGTTTGGCTGCTGTAAAATAGCACGGGTCTTTTGACTTTAAAATAGCTAAAAACACTTTAGATACCCCCTTCCTGCAGTGATGACGCATTAGCCAGAAAGTATAAAAAGTACTTGATTCAAAAACACTTTGGAAACCAATCTAGCCACATATTTCTAGTGCTGGCTTTTGTCCTGGGGCTCTGCTTCTGCCATCTGCTCTGTGGGGGAGGTTCTCCACCTGTGAGGTGTTCCCTTGGCAGCAGCTGAGTGTTTTACATGTGGGAGAGCCTTTCCAGAGGGACCAAACTTAAGACCTGGCCTTGAAAAAACAGAAACTACTGCTTTTCAGGGATTTAAAAGCCAGAAATGTTCATGTTTTTTTCTGAAATAGTGAGCAAACACAGCTCTTTCAAATCAGTGGAAAATGGTGTGGGATTTGGTCTCAATTTGGACAACTAAATCAAGATGTCTGCTTGTGATTGGGGTGCTGAGGCTCCTTATAATCAGTGGAGGTCCAGGAGATTTGGTGGAGGTCCAGTTCTTATAATTTCTTAGGCACATGTCTCCAGTGCTGTTCATGGAAGCACCCCATAGGCTAGGGATGTTCTCTATGGCTTTTGCCTGCCTCTGAAGAAAGTCTTCTTTGTAGGTTTCCTCCACCAGTCTTCTTTAGGTTGGGTTTGTATCTGCCCCCCTCACGCTGATTCACAGACATAGTGAAGCATCTCAGATAGCACAGGAGACCTATATTTAAGCAACATAGTGTACCCTGTCATTAATGTCTGTGGAGTCCAGAGCTATTTCTGTCACACTCATGTTTTCTAATGCAGAAATAAATGCTTTACAGGACCGTCAGGTGTGTCTCTGTCTTTCAAAGGTGTGAAAAAGGGCAGTGAGTACTTCTGATCATCAGAATCTGGGCTCTGTGGCTGTACCACTGTACACTAAAACTGGGTACCTAACTACAGATGTAGGTGTCTTAACTCTGAGCCGAGTTCTGCACACGCTTTCACCAAGGCTGGGCTCTGCGTGTTTCTGATGCAGTATCTGTGAAATGCAGAATTAACAGGTCAAAGTTGCTGCCGCAGGAGAGCATTGCTAATGAGACATATGTGGGCCACAACCCAGGGCGGTATCACTCAAGGCAAAGTGATGTATTTTAATTGGTACAGCTGGCATCTGACAGGTCTCAAATACTGGCCAGTGCACTGGGGAATAACCCAGTGGTTGCATTTTCCTTTGAATCAGTCGTTTTCTTCGTTAAAGAGTAAAATTGGGGGGGCTGTGGAGTATGTGTGTTTTGGTTGTGGTTATTTTTTGGTTTTATTCTGGAAATAAGCTAGTAAGAGAAACTTTCAAATGAGAAGACGCTCCCTGGTGAAAAGTCCCTGTTAATGGTCATTCATGGAGCTATAGCACACCACTCCAGAAAAGCAAATGCCCATGCATGTTGCAAGAGGTTGATTTAACAATAAAAGGCCTGATGTAATACTTCATCAATTTCACTGTTATCTTCCTCATATACCATTTATTTTAGCCAAATTAACCTAACAGCATGCTACTGCATCAGAACAGTAGTGAATGCAGTTTCATCTTCAGTACAGTATGACTATGTATTTTGTTTTCAGAAAAACTGGGCACTTAAGTGTCATCCCTAAGCCTAGGTCATACTCGCTGTGCAGTGAGACATTAAGATTGATTGTGGTTGGAACAAGTCTGTGTGTCTGGATAAGAATATGAGAGCAGCTCTGAAGAGGCTGGTCGCTGATAGGTATAAAGCAAAATTTCTGCAAGTGCCAACACCTTCAGCTTCCTCCAAACCTGTGAGTTCAGGACATTATAAGAGTTCAACACTGAGTTGAACTCCCATTGAGTTTTCTTCAGTAGAAGAAACACGAACTGATGTGCCTTTCAGCTAAAATCTCTGCATCAACTTTATGTGCTGGTAACCCTTTCAGTTTGTTGTGTTTTTTTTAAAGTTGAAATCTTTGCTACGGCCGCCCAAGTCAGCGGGAGGCAGACACGACCAGAAGGAGGGAATTTCCACAACTGGCCTCAGTAAACACACTGCCAATCAGCATGATGCTGGGAAGACACAGCATGACTCTTCATTGAGCTCCACTGAGCCTTCAGGCTCAAATTTGCCTGCAGGCCCCACCCAGGAGGAATGGAAACAAGTAGGTGAAACCAAACACAGACCGATACCAAAACCCTCCCGCACAAAACCAGCAGGTGTTCTGTTCAGGCAGTATGTTTGAGTTATAGAGAACTGTCTCTTAATAAGAAACCAGTCATACACTAGACAGCTATTAGTTTTTTGGATGTTTTTTGTAGACCTGGTAATAAAGGCTTGGGATTTTATACCTTACAAGTACAATTTGCCCAGTGTTTTCCTTTCTTAGCCATTAAGAGGAGGAATCTGCTTAGTATGAAATGTGTTTGTATGCCCTCGTGTGGTTGAATCTGTTGATACATACGTGGTTATCAGTTTAAGCAGGTCAAACTTTGCAGTTGTTGGTGAGAGTGAGCTCCATTTTTTGGCTGTGGTTTTGGCCACTGAATGCTGATACAGCCCAAAAAAAACACCAACTACTGAGACCTACAGGCTAATTACTCAGAAGTGGGAAGTTTTTGTCCTCTGGTTGTTCATTTCCTCTTGAATACTGGAACCAATATGGAGCTTTTTTGTACTGTAATTTAATAAGTTGTGGCAATTTGGAAAGCTTAATTTGCCCAGCAAATCTGTCTCTGAAAATGTGATACCTATCTGACCTACAAAGTAACATAACGGGCACAAGCAACACCCACCCACACCCCCAAAGCTGACATTCCCCCAGCTAATCAATCATCCACTGAGCCATGCTCACAAACATGAAGTGGAATGTGTTAGTGCAAACCTTGTCCAGCAAGATTTAAACAAACACATTTTGACTAATATTTGCTACTGACTACAATTAAATAATGATAATTCATCGTCATCTCTGAATCCTGCTAAAATGCTAATATGTAAAATCTTGTTTTGAAACATGAGCTAACTGAAGACAATAAAGCCAAAGGCAACTCTTGTCATGTTTAGAGCAGGCACTCCCAAGCTTAGGTTAGGTAAAACACCTACATGCAAAGAAGGCAGCTTTTGCACTCTTCAAAATAGCCCAGGTACTGTTCCTGAGGCACCTGTCCAAGTCTGAAAAACTCAGCTGTGAAAGGAGGTACTTTGCTGAAATGGTATTACATCTGAAAAAAGTTCGCCCAAAATCTAGATCATATTTTTTAAGAAAAGTAGAACAAAAGTTTCAGCCCAAAAAAATGTTCTCTGAGAGGAAGGAAGGAAACAGAAGACCAATATATTAGCTCAAGTGTTTTCTCCCTGTACTGTGGGGCTTTTGCTATGGTCAGTACTTAAGACCATCACAGCCTGTCAGTCTTCACCTACTATCGGTCCTCACTTGCTTGAGTTTGCTATTTGTAGATCCTTGACGTTCTCTGGAGTGACCCAAGAAGCCAAAATGGTTGTAAACCAAACAAGAGTCGAGGAGCAGGCTGCTACTTTGGTCCTGATGTCACTGCCAAGATCTTTCAAAGGTATAATCTGAAGATTCTCATCAGGTCTCATGAATTTAAGCGGGAAGGTTATGACATCAGTCATGGTGGGAAGGTAAGATGCTTCTGTGTAAAGCATAATTCTCCTATGAATTTCACAGGCACATCCACAGTAGATTTGTCTGCAAAATTATTTAAAAAATAAAAAAAGAGAGTGACTTCTTTAAATTGGGTTTGGGGGAACTTTGTGCTAGATAGATGTTATAATAAATTACCGAGCTGTGATGACCAAAAATCTTTACAGCTTCAGGGAGTGGCGACCAGTTTATTACTCACATGAAAAGAAATGGACATCAACAAAATCCCTGAGAAGAGTTGTGTGTAAATACAGTGCAAGAGATGTTCTAAGGCTCTAGAAGCCTTTTAACTTAATGATTTCTCTTCTGGCCCTGCTTTCTGATGTGATGTATTGGGAAGCCAGCAAGAATCCTGAAAACCAGATCTGTCTTAGAAAGAGATTTCTGTTAAACAGCACGGTATATCTCACTGGCCTCTGAACTCAAGTCTTCCTATGACAGGTCAAAAATACAGGCCCAGAGCTCTGACTCAAAAGGCAAGAGCAATTTGGTGAATGACATGGTTTTACATGTAGCCACTTAATTTTGTAACCTGCCTTTTTTTCTAAAGTCCGTTTCAGAACTCAGTGTCAAGAAAAGCTGTTCTAACCAATTCAGTTTCTTTGTTTCCTATAATCAGGTTATCACTATCTTTTCTGCCTCTAACTATTACGAAGAGGGGAGTAACCGGGGAGCATACGTCAAACTGGACCCTGAACTAATTCCTCGGTTTGTACAGTTTCAATCCAGCAAGCACACACGCAGTCTGAATATTCTGGAGAGGTAAAGCTGTGTGTTGCATGCAGTGAGTGTGTACTCGCTTGTGAGCACCTGCCACAAATCTGGAGCTTGACTGAATAATTGAATAGGCATCTATTTTTCTTCATTTTCCCTGGTTTTCTGTTTTACCATTTAAAAATTAATACAGTTGACCAAACCTGTTCTAAATGCTCTAACTTGGTTTCCTGAGAAACTCCCAATGGTAATTAGATAAGGTAAGAGGTTAGAACAGACAACTGTCAGGGACTTGTAAAGGGTCTCCACCTGTCTGTCAGGTTTGCTTGAAGACCGCAGTGTTAATCTGGACAAATCCTGTTATGAATTGAGTCCAAAAAGTTCATCATAGCTTTGCCATGCCTAGCACTGTGGTCACATTACCAAAGGAAAGCACCTTAGAATTACCTATATAAACTCAGTTATCTCATAAACTCAGATTATTCTTATGGAGCACTTTTGGTTTTGTTTGGTTTGGGGCTTTCCCCCCCTTCCCTCCAGTGTTCTCTAGTATGCTTTGGGTCATCCTACTTAACCATACTACATGTTAAAGGATAAAAGAATATGATAATGATTGTTAAAAAGTATAAAATGCCAGAGGATTTAAATTCTTTAATTATATGCTCTGATTTTTTTTCCTCCTAGGGTGGGCACAATTGAATCATCTGCCTTAAAGTCCTTACAGGAGCTGATTTATGCTCATAGGTCTGAACTCATTAGTGCTTTTGCACAATACGACCTCAATGGCACAGGTACCACTCCCTCTATATCCAGTTGCTGCTATGGGGAAAACACTTCCATGTGTGTGTGGGGCAGAAGGGACAAACCCAATGGAGAGGGATCCTGCCTGCCTGCCAGTGTAAGGCTGGAGGGCAGCAGAGGCTGGTTGACCTTGTTCTTCCTGACCACGGAGGACAATAGGTGTTGGCAAGTGTTTAGCCCTGGAAAACAACTTGAGAGGATGAAGCTTTTAAGTAGGAAGAAGAAAACTGAAACACATGGGCAAATAAAGAAATGATGTTTGCTGTTGGGCGGAGAGTATGGGCAGGCAAATCCAGTTCCAGAATCTCAAAGGTCACCGCCTCCTCTTAGGTGGTGTCTTCAGATGTCAGATAGGGAACTAGGGTCTCAGACAAGGGGGAACTAGTGTCCTTCCGAGTCTGGGAGGTACATGAGGAAAGTTGACTGCCTGTACCTTCAGCAGACACAATTTCACCTATCAGCTGCAGAAAATTCAGTGGTAAGTTAATAGATGAAGTTTTTATGTAGGAGTAAGAAGTTGATTTCTACCACAAATACAGCTTTTCCTTGTGATGGCTCCTCACTTGACCATGCCCCTACAAGGGCACTCAGTAACATGATGGTACTGTGTCTTTGGCCACTGAACAGTTGTTTGACATTCTGTCTTGCTGAGTTTTTCAGCCACGTGTCGCTCTAACTGCAGCTCAGCTGAAATCTGAAGTACTCTTTATGGCATAATCTGTTTTTCTCTAAAGGTGTTAAAATATGCTGAACATCCTAATAGCATCGCAAAGTTGTTGAGGTTGGGAGGCATCTGTGGGTGCTCTGCTCATTGTTATGAGGGCTTTTATCCTGGGGTTAAGAGAAAATATTTGTGCTTCGCAACCGTTCTTAAGAGCGGCTGTGAAGGTGTGCTGGTGACTGACATATGCTGTGCCATGTTCCGCTTGTAACCACGAACTGACCCCTTCTGGCAGGCTGCATTTCTGTCCCTGACTGGGCTGCAGCAATGGAGTCTGTCCTAAAGCTGGAACTGCCCTGGAGGATGCTGCGGCCTCGGTTAGCACAGATGAACCCGGATGGACAAGTTGACTTCATGTCATGTTTTTATGATTTGAAAATGGATCAACCTATAAAAGAGGTAAGGACGAAAACACCTCCTCACAAATCTTGGAGGAACAGCTTTTGGTGCAACTTGAAGCACAAGACAGTGGTTTGGCCAATCAGGTAGACATCTACATCTGAACTAGTTGTCAAACTTCCTTTTATAGTCACTGGAAGAAAATGAGCACTGCTTGGGTACGAATCATCATTCCCTGCTAAGGTAGATGCTTAAAATAGGTTGGATGAATCACATGCTAGAACTGCTTCTTACTTTCCGTTGACTTTCAAGGGCGTTTAGATAATGTAGCTGAGGAGATACGACAAATCTTGCCCAGAGAACTCAACCCTCCTTGAAATGAGCTTTTTAAACATGCTCCAGAGCCAATTCCCTATACCATCTTCCCTAGATTATCCATATTTCCACAAATAATTACTGAAGGTAGGAGGTGTGAAGGGCTCCTTTCCCCCTTGCTCTGCCAATCTGAAAGTGACAGGGTTTATCTGATTATTCCTCAGGGCAAGGCACAAAGTGTTATTCCAGGGAACTTAAGCATAAGGATTTTTTTTTAACATTTGACAAGTTAAATTAGGAAAATGGAATGGGACTGTACATATTCTGTTGGTTAAACTAACTCAAACCAAGGTCTGAATGTCTTCCTGTATGCAATTTCAAAACCAGGCTCAGCCAGCTTTGGTGGAAACACTGTGCAGATACAGAAAGGATTTGGAGATCATCTTTAACATCATTAACAAAGATAACTCGGGTAAGTCTAGGTAACTTCACTGTACTGGATCTAGGAAGCCTATACTAGTTATTTTTTCCCCACTGTGTTTCCTCCTTAAGGCTTCTAAATATAGAGGAAGCAGAGGTGATGTCATTTTTCCAGTTTAGTGAAGACTAATTTAAGCAGTCAGGCTGCAACCATATAAGGGACAGTGCACAGAGCCTAACTTGACAAAAAAATTCTCACATACCCCATCTCCAGTACTGGCTTCACTCTTCTGGGGGCTCTTTCTCCCTTCCACTCTCACTCTCACTATTTACTGCTTTCTCAATTCCTCTGGCAAAAGCATTTGACCATTATCTAAAGTAAAAATGTACTTGAGTCACAAAAGCACAAAACACACCAAAGCCAGGGTAGGCAGGTAACTTTCTTGCAAGGGAGGGAGTGTGCATGTATATGTATTTGCAGGAATGGGAAACATTTTCATACCAGAGAAAGCAACCTGCTGTCTGTCTCCTTTAGGTCTGATTTCTCTTGAGGAGTTCAGCCAGACATGGAGACTCTTCACCTCTCATGTGGGAATTGATGTACAGGATGACTCCCTTGACAAATTAGTCCTGAGTATAGACCACAACAAAGATGGCCACATTGACTTCAATGAATTTTTAGAGGCCTTTCACTTTGTTCACAGAGTCGAGGAAAAGGAAAACTCATGAAAAGGCAGAACTTGTGAGCTGTCTTGGAAGCTCACCTTCCTGTCCTTAGTCATAAAAGGGCTGCTCGATACAGTATGATACGATATGCACTGAGGTCACCGTGTAAGCCTTTATGTAGTCCCTCCTGGATGATATGTACCTGCAATTAATGAGACAGAAGAGATGAAAACCCACTAACAGCATTCCTGTGTCACTGCCATACACTGCCAGTACCTTACAACTTACCCTCCCCCATGTCCCCCATTAATCTAATCCGTGAACACTGCCAAGGTCACACCTTCAAGAGTGTAGGAAGAGACTTGGGTTTAATTTCTCTCAGTGGTCCTTGGCAACAGCTGAGAGCACTGGTGACCACAAGGAACATATCAGACCCTCCTTGGTTATGAAACAGGCACAAGAGACACTGACTATGGAGTGTCCAGTGCAGGAAAGGAAACCAAGGAAGAACCATCTAGTTAAAATAGGTTGTTCTGCATTTAAATTTGCTCTTTGGGTGACAGAGTGGAACTAAATCATTCCAGGTCACTGTCTATCCCAGCTTTACAGACACAACTTACAGGATCTTGGTTGAAAGGTGTTTACACTTGTGCTAAGTTTCCTCTTACGACTGGTAACTTTTTGCCACATTTGTTGGAATTTGGAGCTAAGAAACAGTCATAACTCATCACCTTAATGATGACTAAATCCATAGCATGTTAATGTAACATACAAAAGATCACAAAATAAAGCTTTAGCTTTCTGAGTAATGTCTAAGTAGTTAAGTGGGGTGTCTTTTTGCCTGTATTTGGGTACCCTGCCCCCTATCAGTGTAGAACACTTTTCCTGAAGATGAACTGGGTTTCTTAAAAACAAAGAAATGAGTATAAACACAAAGTAAACATATTTTGGTATTATGAACCTAAATATTCTTGCATATAGATAAACATAAATTCTTTACCAAGAAAAGGGAACCAAGAAATTCTGAATTAGAGTTTTTCAAATGCAGCAAGATGGAAAAGTCCACCTGCCCATCTCCTTTCCCCTACTGCAAACCAATATTCCCATTCCTGCCAGTACCACCCTGTCAGTTCCCGGGGGGAGAGTCGGGAGATCTGGACTTAATTCTTTTGCATATAACACTCCAAAAGCAACACCGGATCAGGAGCTTTTTGGTAAAAGTATCACCTCATTTAACCTTAGTAAATACAATGCACATAATGTGCTTTTTGGGAAGGAAAAGGTTTCAGTCTAGTCTCCTTTTAAATTGTATTAGCTAAAGATGAGCTAAGTAAATCAGCTTGGTTTTATTTAATAACAGTGTTGAAAGTACAAGAAAAAGCATCCTTCCCAGTTTATCATCACAGAGTGTAACAGCAGCCAGAGCTTAAGGCACTGCTCTCTCTCTTAGATCTTATTTTTTACAATTAAATCCAGAATACTTTTCCAGAAGTATTTTGTAACTTGACAGACAAATAAATAAACATGCACACACTTATTTCTATTGCTTTGGGGGAGGGGGAAAGAAAAATCTTTAATAGTGCCAACAAAATTTACAATAAAATGTTAATGGCATTGGTAATACTTAATGTCTGTTTCTGGCATGCAGTTATGCTGATCTATGCACTGTGATGAACAGTCCCACCTTATTCCAGTGGAGTGACAAAAAGGCTCCACTTAAGATGGACAAACACCACAGTGTGTTGTGGGCTCTTGCTTCCCACTGTTGGCTTCCATGCTGTAGGTGCAAAGTGACAAGGTGGAATGGGATGGTGAAGCCCTGGAGTCCTCCTTTGCCACCCATCCCAGTAAGGAGGACAAAGCCAGGGTGTGCAGCGAGGCACAGGAGCTCTGAAACACGACTCACAGCGTCAGTTTAGATGTCCCCCTCTAATGACACATTCCTGAAGATGACATAAAGTTGAAGGGGACTCGCCTTGAGGGATCACTTCATGAGAGGGGATGCCATGGTACAGTCGCAGTGCAGTGCTGCACTCGGCAGGCAGTAAGAGGCTTTTGGGGATGCAGCACTGAAGTATGAGAGGAGCTGAATTACTGAGCCAAAAAAGAAAGCCCCTGTCCTGTCAGCTGCTGGCAGCACACAAGAGCCCCCTTACCCCTGACAGAAGAAGGGGGGGTGGCAGGGGAGTAACTGTGAAACATCTAACACCAGGAATAAATTCCACTCGAGACTGAAACTGGGAGTGGGAAAAAGCCCTGCTGCTTGTACTTAAAACCATTTGAGCTGAAGCTCTTCTATAACCCCACTCCCAATCCCTTTTAGTCACAATTCTATGCAGTGGCTACTAAACATTGCAGATGTGACTGGTTCTTTGAGCAGGGACTGAATCAATCTGCAGATAAGTGCCCAAACTCTCACCCTACAGCTACAGATGCCACCACTGGTGGCATCTCTCTCCTGCTTAATGGACAACTCTGCTCCTAACTGTGGATAACACCAGAAAGTGCCCAAGGTTGCACCTGGACTGACCCAGGCTCTGGCTTCACTCAAGCCCCTGGCTGCTGCTGGAGGGGTGACACAGTCCTGCAGTGCCCCGTGCCCGCAGGGGGCAGCCCAGGTGTTTCACCACTCACCACAGAAAGTGGCCACGCCTTTATAGGGCAGCTAGGGACTGTGCAGCTCACCTGCACCTTCCAGAAACAAGCAGGGCTCTTTCCCTAAGGAAGGAAACTACAATTAGCAGGAGAGAAGCCAGGCAAACTTTGTACTCCACCCATTAAGTTTTCACATTTACCTGTGGGACCAGCAGCTGAGGGAGATCAAAGGTGCTTTTGATCTGTCTAGTTAGACAAACCCATGTCCTTCACTCGGCAGCAGGGGGAAGGAAACAGCCATGATCAGGGAGCAGGGAGGGCACTGGCCTGGAGGAGCCGGTTTGGAGCCAGCATGTGGTATGAGCTCTGAGCTGGACACCCATCATCGTTCTGGCCAATGGCCCCACCCAGCCCCATTCCTCTCTCCAGGCACATCTGGCTGCCTCCAGCACTGCGTAGGTGCTTCTGACCCCACAGCTCCAAAGTGCTTAGGGCAGCAGTGCCTGTCAGGCTGAGACAAGCAGCTCTCAGGTGGTCTATTTTAATTCACTAATGCCCTTGTTTCTGAGGCACAGGATGTGTCTGTTCACCTTTGCTTTCTTTCCATAAATGCGTTTCCAGGGACTGGAAGCTGGCAGTGTCATCCTTTGCTGGCTCCCCAGGGAAGCCGCACGGCCAAGTTGAGCCTCTGCCAATTAGCTCAGCCCTACACAAATTGCAAAGTCGTCATGTATTTTATCTGTGAGCACACCCTCGTCACTGCCAGTGCCAGCTCTGCTTTGCAGCAGCCTAACATACACCAGGAATCCTCAGCAAAGCAGGAGGTCTGTGTAAAACCTTATTTGCTTGATTAGGTTTGCACTACAATGCAGCTCTCCAAGTGGAATGAGCTGCAAGCTGAAGCTGTGCCTGATCTGGAAATAACACGAGTTTCCCTTCCCCTAGCTGTGTGTTTGAGTCCCAGCTTTCACCATCAGCTACCTAAACTCTTCAAATTACCACATAAATACTTTCCAAGTGCCTGCATTTCATGTGGTAACTCATGATAATCATAAATATACCATGACCTGGTTCATACTGTGAATTTCATACTAAAGACACCAATGACACTGCCATTAAAAAAAGAAGCGTTAAGAGGTGACCAGGTATGTTAGGCCATACATTTCATTGTTTTAGACTTCAAGGCAGCTTAATGTAAAACCAACTACATCACCCTTCTTGTTTCTGAAAACAAGATCATGCTGTAGGTTAAAAAATAAAATTAAGACTGAATGAAAATCATCTTGCATCTCTCACAATCTAGGATTCAAAAAACAAAAGCAAAAATAACAGCTACTAGTAAATTTTCATATGATACTGGGTAGAACAAGAAACCATCATACCAGCTCTTGTGTGCTCACACTCTGCGCTGTCACATCTGCTTAAACTAGACAAAGGATTTTACTTTCATTTACTGGGAAACAAGCCAAGTAAGCTCTAACAATACATATGAAAAGGAAAAAAATCCAAACCAAACCATAATGAAGGCAAACCCCTACAAAACAGGCACCATGCCAATAAAATGACTTCCACATCCAAGTGTTAATTGCACCTGAACTGTCACTTTATGCTGGCCACTCCACAGGCCCATAGTTCTCATGGTGGTTAACACAGGGTATCTCTGGAGCACCCAATCCAAGGGTTCCTGGGCCTCTGGACTGCCAAACTCCTCTGGTCTCTGCAAAAACAATAAATCACTTCCTAAGGCCTCCCATGCCTTCACTGTCTTGAGGCAGTGCCCAGACATTGCTACAGCAGCATCGAGTGTATAAAGGGACAGCAGGCAGGGTGGCACGGCCATCAGGGGCTCAGCCTCCTTGGGACCATGAGTGCTGGCAACTGGCAAGTGAGACAGGGTGTTGTCATTTTGTCAAGGTCTTTCAGATACCTGTATAAAACTGGAAACAAAAAGCTCACTCTCAAAAGCACCACCCACCATTACAAAAAAAAAAAAAGTTTTCAAATCCTATACAAACGGTATAGTTTTGTTTTGAAAGAGTGGAGGGGAGGCTCACAGAAATATAATTAATCAGGCTTATTAGCTCAGAAAATTTTACAGGCCTGTCTGCTCTTTTCCCCTCTATCAGGCAAGACAGAATTGCTCTGATCCCTCCTGCTCACGTGGCAGCAGTGCTGGGGGAGCCTGTGGCCATGGAGAGGCTAAAGCTACTGCCATATTCCTAAGCTGTCAGCCAGATGCTGGCACGTGGCTATTGACAAAGCCAACAGTGTCAGCACAAGGAAAATCCTGCCTGGGGTACAGCAGGGTTTTCCTCTTCAGAGGCCGCCTACCGCTGTTTTCAGTTTCAGTGGCCATGGGACCATTGCCCTGCACCTGTTCTCCCTGCAGCAGCTCAGAGTTTCCACTGGATGGATTCAAGGTGCCAGCACTAACGTGGGAACTGTCTGAAGGGAGACTTCCAGGCAGCCCAAACTCTTACTATATGTGACCAGTGCAGCTTCAAACTAAAAAGAAAAATTAAAAAAAAAAAAAAAGGGAAAGGAAAAAAAAGAGAAACATCAAAGCCTTCCATAAACTCACACTGTGCTGGAAGGGCCACAATTATGCCATTCTTAACTCTGAGGCTGTTTGCAAGGGAAACAATTGGGAGACTTGGAAAGGGTGCTTGAGTGGAAGCGGTTTATCTTGCTCCATTCAGAGGAAAGGATTACAGGCATAAAAGTGTCTGTCACCTTGGAGAAGCTGGAATCTTCAGATTTTGCCTCCAAAGCCTCAGGGAGGCAGGGAAGGAAGCTGTCTTGTTCAGATTAAAGACAGATGCAGTTTCCTGACAGAGGCTATCCTCTCAAATTAGTGGATATTGCAAGATGTTTGTCTCTACTGCAAGTGAGAAGAGATCCAGGATAAACGTGTATGAGAAATATCACTGGGTTATTTCAAGTTATTCCTATGCCTCTAATTTACATTTCCCTGGATGTTTCACATTGTGCATTAGTGATTCACAATGATGTACATTTACACACAGCAGGAGAAAAATTAATGAATTCCATCACTTCCCTTATTTGGGAGACTCTATGCCCGAGATACAGCTCCCTTGTTTTATTATGCCTTTTGATCTCCACAGAATAATCTGTTTTCCCCTTGGCAGAACTGTATAATTCTTTCTAATTTACTATGAATTACATTTATGCACTTTGGGCAGAATAAGCCTCATTATTTGTTATTTCT